TTTGTTTTGTGTGGTTTTTTTTTTTTTTTTTTTTTTTTTTTTTTTTTTTGATCAAGAAAAAACTGCCACAGCTACCATGCTTCTTCAGCAAACACCACAGAGTCGTAATGCATGAAGCCTTTAGTCTGAACAGGTCGTTTCCTCAGATCTTAGAAGCCACATCTTTTAGAAGCCACAGTCTCCTCATTACACATTCCATTTCAAAGAGGGACTTCTGACCACCATTGAGTAGATGTTAGAGAAGAACAAAGTTACTTGCAAGATCTTTCTTCTAGTAAAGAACTCTTACAAGCTATGAGGGAAAGAAGAGGGGGTAAAAACCTCATCTGGGATGAAAAAAAAAAAAAACAAAAAACTTAATGTGTTTGGTTTCTGGTTCCTTTGGCCTCTGTAGAACAAGTAAAGAGCATTATTTTGGTTTCTGAGGTTAAAACCCCCCACCCCCAAACACACTGTGTTTATGGTTTGAGGGAGAAGGAGGGACCTAGGGAACTGAAGGGTCTAATCTTGACATCTCCCTAGCTGCTTTATTCTCTTGGAACAGAGTGCTGATCTGGTCTTCTAGCATGAAAAGCAATACAGCAAAGAGCCACAGACATCAGAAAGCAATTCATTCCCTGGACTATTTCAGTAGCCAGATGACTTTAAGGAAGCTTGCTGTTAACTGTGGAGGCATCGCTGATGTCTTGCTGGGTTATCATTGGACAATTCAATAACTGACATACAAGATTGACACCTCAGAGTTTGAGTAATGAATTCATGCTTTATCTTTTTAGGTTATTGGAGTGGTGAGTAAGGAGTATATACCAAAGGGAACGAGGTTTGGACCCCTGATAGGTGAAATCTATACCAATGACACAGTTCCCAAGAATGCTAACAGGAAATATTTTTGGCGGGTAAGTAAGGAAACATTTTTAAGACTTTTAAATATTGGGGGTAGATGGAGATTAAAGAGCAGGGTTCCTTCCTTTTCAGACTGTGATGGGGGCGGGGCGGGGCTCACTCAAGAAAACCCTGGAATTCTGAGCAAGTTTGATGAAACTGGTTAAATGCTCTGCCTGGAAACTGTAGCTGTGGGTGGTTAGATGGGACTGCATGTGAAGCTAGATTTTTGCAACTCATTACACACAGCTTTGTGATGAAAGGAAACAGTTTGTTGCTTGCTTCAAGGGCAGGTTCATTTGCATTTCTCTTCGAGGAAGTAGTAATGAGTCACTGAGTCTTAGATTTCACCCTTTCTTGATTTCTTGCTGAGTTCACTTGAATTGAATGGAAGAGTTATGATAAATGAATTATCTTGAAGAGAAATGTCACTAAGAAAGAATAGGTAGAAGGTGGGTTAGTGGGGCAGAGAACCACAGAAGTCATTTCGTTAAATCCATCTGTACCGTAAAACTGTTACATTTGACAGTATCTTAAGTTGCTAAGCCTAAGGAAAATGCTCATACTCACGTGAGATGATAGACTTGGCTAATACAGCTATTTAAAAGGTCTGGCCTATGCACTCTCCCTTGGAATGTCAGGGTTTTTCAAGGACTCTGGAGGTGGGGGACCTAGGAGATAGGATTCATGAATAAAATCTGAATTGAGTGGATAAAGAAAAGTCAGCCTCCCTTTCTAAAGAAAAGTCAGCCTCCCTTTCCCCAAGATGCCTCTGGCATGCTCAGTTTGGGAATGAAGAGCTATTTATATAAATTTAGTGAGCACTTTTCCTCATACAACACAGAGCACATACCACCTGAAGATACATTAGTAGCCAAGACTGGATCATGCTTGCCCTGGTTGATATTTTTGCATAAGTAACTTACAAAGACTTTTGGTTAGGAACTCATGAAGCTATTCCTGAGAGATTCCTCTATGTCTAGACACTTTTATTTCCAGACACTTACTTGCTACTCCTACAACTGTAGGATTTGTTAGGAATTATTTGTTCTCAATTTTTATTTATTTAATAAACACTTGGGTGTTAAAATCTATAATAATATAAATAACTGAAAGGCTTTTCTTGAGGAATTATTAAATCAGTTGTTCACATGCAACAAAGACAGTATAGGGAATAAAGCTTCTCACTTGTTGGAAGAGCCTGATTAGCAGGGCAGGAATATGAACATCTGTTGTGAGGAATGAAGGGGTTTCATGCAAATTACACAGTCAAAGAGATGCTCAAGTTGAGAAACCAGTGACATTTCTTGTAACTGTACTATGAGTCAGCACGTGTTTAATCTTCTTGATAATAAATGGAAAGGCAGGCATCAGGGTGTGTTTTACAAATGCATGATTTTATTTTCTTGGGGTGTGTGTGACTTTATGACATCCAACTGTCTATTTTTAAATGAGGATACAGTAAATTTGTAGTTGTGGAAAGCCAACCAGGATCAACACACCCTAGGCTAGCAGTTTCTGCCCTAGTGCGAGAGCGCTGGAACCCCATGTTCCTGGAAGTTTGCGCGTCAGAGTAAACAAACTTGAAAACCCCTCTTGATAGCTGAATTCACCCAGTATTGTTACATTTTCTCTTAACAAGACACACCGCGGAAGCTCTCACAGGCTGCTTTGATGAAGCCACATACATCCCCCTCACAATTCACAGGAAGTCACTCTTAAAAGAAACTGATTCTGCTGTTTACTGCCTGTATTAAAGGGACAGAGCTCCTTTTCATTTCTGATAACATTGGAGAGAAATAGAGAAACCATCACACAGCCAGTGTGTGACTAAGAATAAAGCAATAGCCTGCTGCCCTGTAGCAGCCTCTGGGGTGAGCAAGCAGGGCACCTCTTGGAGACTCCAGATATTGACTGACTGTGTGTAAAGAAAGCTCTGGGGACTGAAGGAAGGTGGTGCCTCTTCAAAGAAAGGAACTTTCTGGAGAAGATAAGGAGTTTTACAGGAAATATATATATATATATATATATATATATATATATATATATATATGTATGATTTTTTCCAAGAGCACCCAAACATGGTTCTGTGTGTGTTGTTTTAGCCAGCCTCCTCACAGATACCGAGGAATCTCTACTCCTTTGGCATGAAAGAGAGGCACAGGGCTGCACATGTTTACCAAGAGGAAAAGTGACTTCTCAGACTGCCAAACTCTGGCCTCTGTGCCAGTGGCTCACTCTGTAATGACAGTTGAAGTTCACCTTTGCCCCACCCAGTGTTTCCACAAAAAGGCAGGGCTCCAAGTATTCATCTGAACAAGTGTTGCTGTGGGACTCAGGGCTGGGGGTGGAGGATGTTTGCGGAGTCTGCGCCGCGGGCGGAGGTGTAGGAAACACAAGTACAGAGGCCATAGAAAAAGCTGAGACTCGGTTTGCTGCAGTCCTCTGCTGGCTGGTCTGCCCAGTGACTCAAAGCACTAAAAGTCAGCATAGTTGGAAGTGTGCTGACAGGCGTGCCCATTCGCTACTGTATCAAGAGAACTCTTGATCCACTCCAGGCTGCTCTTCAGATGAGAGTTTTTTGTTTCATTCTTTTGCTGCCTACCCCCCAAAATGAAAAGACCATAACATTGAGATGGAAAAGGTAGCTGACAGAATGTACCTTACCTATTTCACCCTTCATTTCTGCTGATTCAAGGCGATTCCCAGCAGACCAATAGTTCCTTCTTTCTCTAACTAGGCAATGAGGGCTGGAATCCCAGAGACTGCGTTCCTTGCCTGTGTTTGTTCTGAGAGGTTTGGGGCTTTCCTTGGTTCTGGGTAGCTGCCTTTCACACTACAGCTTTCTTCTCTTTTGGACAGATCTATTCCAGAGAGGAGTTCCACCACTTCATTGATGGCTTTAATGAGGAGAAAAGCAACTGGATGCGCTACGTGAATCCGGCTCACTCTGCCCGGGAGCAAAACCTGGCTGCCTGTCAGAACGGGATGAACATCTACTTCTACACCATTAAGCCCATCCCTGCCAACCAGGAACTTCTTGTGTGGTATTGTCGGGACTTTGCAGAGAGGCTTCACTATCCTTATCCTGGAGAGCTCACAATGGTGACTCCTAGTAAGTGGATTACAGAACAAAAAAATGAAAAATGCCGGTCATGTCAGTTCTGCCCCTGTGAGCTAATAACATGTTGTTTAATTATATGGCTTCATCACCTGTTGGACTAAGTAGGTGGCTTTATCTAAGACTAGGAAGAGGAAAACATTTTTAATATCCCTATTCCTTATTTAATCAAATATTTATTACATGTTTATTATATATGGTGACCTGTTCTGAGTGTTGATTTCAGAGAGTTACAAGAGGAAATCTATCCCCAACTCTAATTTATACAAAAGGGCGACTAGAGGCAGACATAATGCAGACTGGTATGGGCATGTCGAACCTGCCAGCTGTAGTCCCTTATGGCCTTCCTGTGCCAGGGCTTAGAGTGTTCATTGAAATCTTATAAAGATACCTGTGGATATAAAGCCACAATCTAATGTGAAAGGCTGATTCTAGAAAAACTGTCATAATTTTTCAAGTCGTCTAAGCAAATAGCCCTAAAAGGTTTCATATCTCGGCTTCCTTCCTTATGGTAAAATGAATTAATCTCGATTTTGAATCAGTCTTACGGTAACCACCTATCGCTTTATCTTGACAGATTCTTGGTTCCTTAGGTTTATAAGCTTTTACTTTTTTTTTCTAAAGTTGTCATGACCTTTACAAAGCATTCCTTTATTTAGTCATTCTCAAGTAGTTTTAACAACAATTTAAGAATCAACAATTCTAACCTCTGTGGTTATATATATCTTCTGGGTTATACTGATAAATTTTGCAGCACTTTTTAAAATGACCATCCTTTGATTAAAATGAAATGTTGAAGGTTTAAAAGTTTTGGTTTTGAGCCAGGCATTGGTGGCTCACGCCTTTAATCCCAGCACTTGGGAGGCAGAAGCAGGCGGATCTCTGAGAGTTCGAGGCTAGCCTGGTCTCCAGAGCGAGTGCCAGGATAGGCTCCAAAGCTACACGGAGAAACCCTGTCTTGAAAAACCAAAAAAAGAAAAAAAAAAAAAAAAGAAAAAAAGAGTTTTGGTTTTGTTGGGGGGAGGTTGTTTTGGTTTTTCAAGACAGGGTTTCTTCGTGTAACCCTGGCTGTCCTCGAACTCTGTGATCTGCCTTTGCCTCCTGAGTGCTGGGATTAAAGGCATGGGCCACCGTCCTCCAGCACAAGTTTTCATTTTGATACTATCTCATGCTAGAGGAAAAATTTCCAGAAAACTATAGAGAATTCCAAGTTATTGTTTACCCAGGTTTTACTGTGCAGCCTCATTCGCTTTCCCGGGAGGATAAATATAGTTCACATTTTACCATTGAGACACTGGAAATAAATGTTCATCTTAGTATTTTCACCTTAAGGCCAATGATCTAGTGATAGCAAATTCTGACTGGCTAGCTATCTATGGTCATTCTACAATGTTCAGGCTTTCAGGAACTTTCAGTTTTCTGGAAATCATAGCTTCAGTACCTTCCCTGTGGGATCCCATTATAGGTTCTGTGCCCAGGGCCCTTAACTCAGTACCCTTGAGCTGAGCATGGTGATACCACCCAGCTTGGCTAATGTGTTTGGGTTTTGTTTTTTATTATTATTTTGTTTTTGTTTTGACAGGGCCCCATTCAGCTTAGGTTCACCTCTAACTTGATAGGTAGCCAAGGATGCCTTTCAACTCCTGATCCCATCTGCACTCCCAAAGTGCTAGGGTTACAGGCATATGCCCCCCATGCCTGGCTGGGGCATTGATTCTTTGTGTTTGGAAGTAATTGTCATGTGTATTGTGAAACGACATCTTTTCTTCAGATACTCCCTTTGATTTATTCAGGGTTCTTCTGAGTGTCAGGTTAGCACTTCCTTTGTCTGCTATTCCCACTAAAGAAAGAGTTAACAATACCATTGCACTACAAGGCTCCTGTCACGATTGTGAAACCCGTTGGCTCAGGTGTGGTAACTGATGATTGAGGCTGTGATCAGGGAAATTTCCACCATTTCATCAGGCCTAATAGGCAGAGTGTGTCCATGATGACTTGTGCTGGATTTCCATGCTTAAAGCACAATAGAGTTCTGTCCAGAAACCTGCCAAGGCTTACATGGGGGAGAGAGTGGAGATGGAGTGAAGGAAAGAAGGGGCTAACTGGCAAGAAAGAAACTGGAAGGAAGAAGCTAAAAGAGAACTATTAAATTTAGTTCCTTCCCTTCCAAATCTTTTTGGTAATTTTTTTCTATCTATCTAACTAACCCATCTAGAAATCAGTTGACCAAATTATAGACTTCTGCATGTTAATCTGCTTTCTCGGTTTCAGTTGAAAACAGACTTTGTTTTGCCTACTGCAGAACTTCTAGGTTCTTTCTTGTAGTCCTAGGGGTGCTTATTATAGATCGAAAATGTGAGTCGGCATAATGAAGCCATTGAGAACCTCAGAGGCAGTTCACTCTTGAAATGACTCTGTCCGCCTACAGCCATTTAAGATTTAAGAACAAAAACAGATCTTGATTTTCTTTTTCATGTTAACTCAAGCTGCTAAGTGGGAGAGTCAGAAATGATACCAGCTCCTCTGATTACTCAGCTGCTGAAGGCTGAGTTTTTAAAAATGTACCTTCATATACAGTCTAATTTCCAGCTGTGAAGTATTTTAGAGACACTGACATTTTCCTGAAAATCTTCCTTCCGAATAAGCTGGCGGCCTGTTTTTCTGAAGACGAGACACCAAACACGATGCTGTGTGTGTGTGTGTCACAGAGAAAATGAAGTTCTGACTTCTTTGTGTGGTGGCGCAACCATTAGCTTCAGATGAGTTCAGTATTGAAGTGCTTAGCAATGATTAAACATGGGCTCAGCATTGGAAGAGCCTAATTCCTTATACTAAGAACTTTCATTTGTTACATTTCCACAGTGGGGCTACTAACAAAAACATTATGAGGCTTCGATGTGATTTGCCACATAAAAATGGCACAGAGTTGAAAGTGGTAGAGCACAACTTTAATGGCAGCAATTGGGAGGCAGAAACAGGTGAATCTCTTGAGTTCTTGGCCAGTCTGGTCTGCAGAGCAAGTTCTAGACCAACCAAAGCTGCATAGTATAGTAAGACCTATCCCCTCCCCCGACCAAGAAAAGGGCAGGGTTAGGAGGGTTATACACACACAACCTGATTTTCTTTTCTTTTGACCTGAGGATGCTTCCTAATCATTATTTTTTTTAACCTCTTGTAAATCCCTTCCTGTGACTGTGGGATGCCTTGCCTATCAGTTTTCCAGCTTACTTGTCTCTCTTCCTTTACCATTTTAGCTTCAAAAAACAAAAGTGACAATTTGAACTTCCTGCCTGCTGGGCCTCACCGAAAGACTGATATTGGCCTGATAAGGGGATATTTATTTTGGTTTAGAGGCTTGAGAAATTGCTCTCCCACAGAAAGCTTTCCATCACTGACCCCACCAGCATCGTCCTGATAGTGTTGGCCCCTGTGTTTATTCTGGGGCTCTGGCTGCCCAGGGGGAACTGATAATAGCTGGCAGGAGATAAAGGGCTTTCCAACTGGAATTGAATCCCTCCAGCCTGTCAGCCTGGAGAATAGATTGGGAAGATTTAATTCTGGGCTTCCAAAGAGTTCATCTTCAGACCTATCAGGTAGCAAGCCTGGAGTTCCTTCTCAGTTAAGCCCGACAGGGCTGTTTTATAAGACTGAAGAGGATTCCTTTTGTGTGTGTGTGTGTGTGTGTGTGTGTGTGTGTGTGTGTGTGTGTGTGTGTCCTT